TCCTCCTTAGCAGAATGTTAAATATACATTTCCGGCCAAGTTAACATCTAAACTACACAGTCCCTTGATATTTTTAAAGATTACTTCGTACTTTCCGGGAAGTCTGCTTCAGTTATTTTTAATATCTATTTGTTTATAATTGTGATGCGAATCAGCCTCATGAATCTCGTTTTAAAACTGAGTAATCAACGAGTCCGTAGGGAGACGAACCGTGAGCCCACTGTCTGTATACTTTGTAAAACTGAGCAAGATTCAAGCAATGGTCACAGATTTTATTTGTAGGGCAAGTGTTGAGTTAGTGGCAACGGTATCACTAAGCGTACCTAACCACATGTCGATTAACAGGTTGTGACAAATTCTAGAACTCAGCTTCACCATTGCTAAAGGCCTAAAAATTTACATACATTCTATATTTAAATATTATCAACTAAGGTATCTTAACACTTGTCATCTTGCAAAATTCCCGAAAACACAATCTGAAAGAAGTTTATTTCCAATGCGTCAGTTATAATTAAATTAATATGTTTGGAATACAATAAACCAGTTGCGAATTATATCGCTCGTAGCGTGGAAACAATTACTGAGCATTTTATTTTAGAATAGGAATATATTAAATTTATTTCTGTTCAGTAGTGGCTAAAAAAGTTTTGTAACAGAACTGTAAAACTTTAACGCTGTGCTTGGAATTTTATGATGTATCAGTCGATGAACGAATACGAGTGGGGGAAATAATTTGGAATCTGAAAGTACTTCTTCACTCAGTTGTTGACCATACACTTGAGAACAGAATCGCACTTTCCCTGAATTTACTCAGCAAAAATTTAATGTCAGGACTTGCCTTCTCTCGCTTCCTCACAGTGTTCATTGATCTATAGAAGTTTAGAGAGCGACTGGCCTTTTTAATCCGCAGGAGTTTCGCTCTGCGGTCATAGCTACCAACGTTGTGTTTGTATATAGGCTGACAACAGTTTTAGTCTTGAGGATCTCAGTCACAGCACGGCGGTCTTCTACGTAGCTTACCTGCAGAAAGCAATGTTTCTGACATAGCTTGGCTCTGGGGTATATTGTAATAACTTTTAAGGAACACATTTCAATGAACATTGGACGTTTAATTAAACCTCAATGGAGTTGGCAAGGCAGCAGAACCTCAGTATTTTTAACCCAACGTCTGTAATATAAATGCTGGCCATGTTAAAGAGAGGATAGTGTATTAACATTAACGTCTCTAAGTCCCTGATACACACGCCTAATTTCTTTTCATCCGCGGTTGAACTTTTCTTTTCAATTCCTTATCTTTTTACGTAACAATTTTTTTTCCACTTCCTTCTTCTTATCAGCTGCACTACTTCCCCTGTTTGATATATTGGTCATATTAATTTTGTCTTGGGTCGCATTTCATTTCCGTGTTATAAGGAGAATAACAGAACGAGATGTCGGAGGAAATGTAAGCCATTAAAAAAGAAAGACCATTCAGAGACGGCTAAAGAATTTGCTAACTACTCCTATGTCCCTGTTTCTCAAGGACGTGATGTTGAAAACTAATGGCGGAGTTTCAATACCGGTAGAGTTAATTTATTAAGACTTCCCAGATTTCCGTTATTTGCAGGCTTTAGAATGTCGTAGACTCTCAGTTGAAGGCTAACGTGTATTGTGCTGATGAGAACCTTCGGTCTAAAGCACTGTAAAGATACGTGGGAATAGTGGAAATAAAGCCTCTAACACAAGAATCTGATTATATGTTTAATGGTTTTACTGTTACATAAATGTATCAGGCGAAACCATTTGTTGGTACCAACTGCTTTTGAATTCAGTGCATTAAGGAAGTTTTTATAAGACAGCCATGCCAACGCGAATTTAATCGCTCAATGTCACTTCTTGTAATCCTAAGAACGCGTTGTTACACGAATGGTATAAACTGTCTGGGTGAAATATGTCATTACTTTCGAAACAAATCTATTATCCTTCGGTTCTGAGAATAAAATCACACAGTTCAGTATCTTTTGTCTTCCCGCCTGATACCTAAAACATTACGATTAAAACACACAAGACTATAAATTTATCTCTGGTTTTAAATGAACGTGGAACTTGGTATCTCATATCAAGGAAAGAACATAGGTTGAGCGTGTCTGAAAACAGGTTGCTAAGGAGAATACTTGGACTTGGATGATGCACAATGAAAAGCTTCATAATTTGTATTCTCTGTCTTATGTTATTAGGATGAACAAGTCACATGGAATGAGATCGACGTGACATATAACATGTATGGGAAGGATGAGAAATACATACACAATTTTAGTCGGAATGACTAATGGGAAGGGGTAACTTGGAAGATCCAGGAGCATATTTGAGTATAATATTAAAATGTATCAGAAAGAAATGGGGTAGAAATATATGGACCGGAGTCATACTGCAGTTGTCAGAGTCCAATTTTGATCTGATATACGTACACATAAAGATGAACATTCGTATTGCATAGAGGCAGGTCGCTCTTAAATAAAAGTATGACTAGTAGCCTCTCAGTAGGATTCTGCTTCATTTAGTTACTTATTTTGATAAGAAGGTAGATGGAATTGGTTTAGGGCCGTATTGTTCGTATTGTACTATAAAGTAAATTAGTTAATTCGTTACTCAGATATTCTACTTTTTAAATTATTGGTTCACAATTTTAACTTAAAGCTCTTTCTGCAGAACTTCCCTTGTGTTAAAACTCTTAAAATTATAATTCAAGTTTCGAGAATTTAACATTAGAATTAGATAACTTTATCAAGGGGTGTCACGTGATACTGCATCCAACTTTCGATGGCTAAAAATTCCGAATTTAATTTATAAATTTTACAGAAACTGTAGGAATAATGGAAATATTTAAAAATATCTGTTCCTGTATACGCCTTGGAGTTTATTCATTCGACTCCAAACGCTTCTGCCTTTAACATCCCCGAAATAAGGAAAGTATGGGTTTATAAAATCTATGAGTGTGCTCTTTAGTTCAATACATGTCGCGTGCATTATTGCGATATTAATTATAACACGTCCAATTCATTAACATGCTGTAAGCCACTTGCCGTTTTACAAAAATTAAGCTGAATCTGACGCACTCACCTGATAATGAATACGGAGACTGGGTACTCGGGTCGTGGCTGGAGAAACACGGGGATGTGGAGACGCGACAACGGATACAGTGGTGCGTGTGGCACCATCATCGTCAACAAGTCGTCGGATCGTAGTTCGCGGTACGCGGACCGAGCTGGCACGAGTGGCACCGCGGCCAGTGGTGTCATCGGCTGGATCTGCACTCGAGGTATACAGCCGCCATCATCCTTCGTGCCCTCACCATCCGTGCCCGTGCGCGGCTCTAGCACAGAGTACGCCACCTGAACTAGCCGCTGCGGAGTTTTCACCGGTTTGCTAGCTCGTCCGGTGTTATCCGGGGGCGGCATCGGGGCCCACCAGTTGGCAGGAATTGTCACTTGAGCAAGACAAACACCATCTTCACCATCGGGACTGCACGCGGCCGTCAATGCGGGTCTCTCGCCCAGTACGGCGTGGAGGACGATGCAGACACGCTGATGGTTCCTTAGCAACAGCTGCCGCCTTCCTCCGGGGTCCGAACCGGTATGAAACAGGACCCGGAGCACTGGAGAGTCGCGAGGGATCTCTGTTCGCACAATATGAGCACTCATGTCCAGGTGATGCGACGCGGAGGCCGTGAGATCCATATCGAGAAGGACTGAAGAAGATGCCGTGCTGGAGTTACTTGAATGCAGCTGAGGTTTTTCAGGAATTGGCAGCGGATCCAATGGGTCTGGAACTATGTACCGAGCCGGTACAGTCTGCTTTGTGGAGAACGGGCCGTATGTGGCACGTATTGATATAGGCTGTGACGTCTGAAACACGGTAAATCTATCCACACTGAGGACGGATGAGCTGGCATCATTATTACTGGTAGTGCTGGTGCTTGCTGGAACCCCACCTCGAGGCTCCAGAGAAGATCCTATACCTCCAGATGCCCCAGCCAGATCAGCCACTGCAGGATAATACTGGCGAGGAACATGCTTGAGGAAAAAGCCTCCATCTTTGTTCTCGAAGTGGACCTCCACAGTACCTACGATCCCTGGAACAAAAGACAAAATTTCCTATAATTTTATTTTGATTCAGAGCATCGGGTGTTTAGCGGATTAGGTTATCACACATTACCCTCATGAGGAAATTTGGGTTTATGGCCAAAGTACGATCCGGACTTGAGACTTCTACATATGTTATTAATAAATTATGTTACATGAAAATCGATATCGACCTCTTATGTTTTTTTCTCAAAACTTTACGGTTTGTACTTCTCTACGATATATTAACATTTAATTACCAAGTTCGGATTTTCACATAATACAACGATATCAATAAATCAGTTACACAAGTTCAGCTGTAAATTTACAAACACATTTTTGGAGCACAATTTATTTAACATGAAATTATATGACTGTAATGAAAGTAGCCTAAATGTTCGGTTAAATGTTCAAAGGAAATAGAACTTTTGCAAACGGCTTGTTAGTCATTTAAAGAAGCAAGGATACAAATCAAATGCACTTGGATAAAACGTACAGATGTTTTGGATCACAGTACAGTAACAGTGTGGTTGCCTGAGGACGAGTAACCACATGTCAAAAAAGTATAGTATTGATTATAACTGCATTTATATCACTGTTTTGATTTGGTCACGTAATATCGTTGCGAATTAAGTCGTTGCAGATTTTTCGCCAATTTGTACAAACAGTCAAGCGGTAATTATTTATTTCATATTCACACAAAAATGTTTATACTGTACTTTCACGCAGGATATACGTAACTGAACGTATGACACTCAGAGTAAATCGGAAATTCTGGAATTGCATGGATTTTGAAACACGGAATTTCTGTTTCCAACCGTTATAGCAGTAATTATTTCGTATATTTGTTAATTATGTCCCTTAATTAAATTCCAGAATTGCGAGTAGGCAACTGATTAATAATTCGCCTGGTTTCTAGAGCGAGTAGCTTTGCCGAGTCCCTCCTTTCGTATACGGGAAAGAAATGTTTTTAAAGAAAAGTTATCAGCCAAGCGTAATTCTCTTTCAGGTCCGACAATTATTTTATACAAAGGCACAAGAGAATAGTTTTAGATAACTACAAATTAGAAAGAAAAATTATCAGCACATTGTGGCTATGATGAAATGAGATAACAACAACACTTTGATTTTAAAATCCCATTTAAAGAGATCACATCAGATAGTAGAACCACAGTTTACACAGCTACGTGAAATAAACAATAACGTAACCAGTCTCGCAATACCGTAACGCAATAAGCAGAAACAAGAGATATTAAAGTTTCGGAGATAATACTGCCTCCATCTTCAGGGCTGAATATGGAGGCAGTGTTTCTCCGGAACTACAGCATCTAAGTCCACATGACATTACAGCCCAGAAGAACAGCATTCGAAAGACTAAAACAGCCGAATTAAATGCTACATATTCAGTGAAAACCAGTTAAGCGTAACTAAACATGTGTTTAATTCTTTAATAAATAACGATTTTTATTTTAAAGATAGAATTTCGATCAAAGTGGGAGCGCGGAGTAAGGTGCTAATGGTTCGGATTACTCAAATAGTACGATTTTAATATTCAAGAGTCTGTCGTTATACATGGCGTTGCGTTCCTGCGAATCGTCGCGTATAACGAAACCGCGTAAAATGTAAAGTATAACTACTATCATTTTCATTTTAAACTGACGCCAAAATACTTTGACTCTTATCATCTTCAACACATTCCTTGGTAAGTCCGGAGACGGTTCGATCCAGCGGTAGATAGGAAAGCAATGCTCCTGATAATACCGAAATAAGACCGCGGATATGCGAAGACCGAAAACTCTTATTGGGAGCCACAGGTATGTATGTATGGGTTTTCCCTGCCTTGTCGAAGGGTCATACAAAACTCATAATAAATACAGTGTTCAGAAATGATTATGAATTGAAACATGACGGTAGGCTTAAATCATGATACCTGAATAAGACAGAATTATGACATGATAAAGAACGTTTCTGCTAATAGTCCTTGGGAGAATTGGTGTCTGGATAAAGCGAAACCACTTTGTGTCCTTTTAGACATTTACAAGGATTAGAAGAATTCTAACATATTCTGAATGAAAAATAATTCTTAAATAATTATTTAAACATTGAGTAGGCGTAAAAGAATTATGGTTGTCTTCCGCGTTGCAACACTGTGTAATCCGGTAGAAGTTAACCAAAATTTAGGTGGTTCTTGCTTCATCCATCACCAGAGCGTTGAGAACCATTACAACCTCAAATCATACAAAAGGTAGGTGTCCGTGAATGGTTGATCAGTCCATATCTCAACCTCTGCTATTATAAAATAATGGGACTAAAGGTATCTGGGAATTCGAAACCTGTCATCCCAATGTGCATGCTCTGAACTGTGTTACTTCCAGCGTCAGCTACTAAACACTTTTCAGCGATCCTTGCAGGACAAAGCTTGCGACGAAGCTCGTTGTCTACTGAAGGTGTAATACATCTTCGTCCCTGTTCATTTTCGCCAACAGTGATCGCTTCGCTCCCCTCAACTTCAAGGCAAACCGACGCAAAAGGTACAGGAGGCAGAAAAGACACGAAGAGGCTATTACAACTTATTTAATGTGTTTCATTACTAAAATTAAAACCGCATTGCATGTAATTGATATACTTTATCAAACGGTAACAGATGGTTTGAAAGGATTAAAATATATGATACTGTATATGTCTGTATAAAGTGAAACAAAACCTTAGACACATATAAATTCAATAAATAACACATTACATAACGTCACACAGTAATTACAGGTGGGCAAGGGGCCATTTGCTTCGCTGAAATGTTGATTTTAAAGGTCAACAATTTTCTCTGAAAAACATACAATAAAGAGCATATGCTTAAGTACATATGCAGTGATATATTTGAGAAGCCGTCATATCTTTCATGCCTATGATACATAGGCCTATGGAAGTGACTGCCTTAACAAAAAGAAGGGATCTAAAAATGTGAACAATGACTATAACTAAGCAATTTATCACAACGGGAAAGCATCTGATTTCTATTCGGGTGATAACGGCTTCCGGCATCGGGGGATATATATATGGATATCTCATGTGATTTCATGTAACCAACATGAGTTCTGTTCGTAGGTGAAAAGTTCTTTTGCCAATTACTCAGTAATGAATATTTCTGTCTTCTGGGTTGTTGGGCTGTGTAGTCAGGTAGATGTTTACCAACGTTTCTGAGGTCATGCCTCCGTCATCAGGGCGATTCTTAGTATGAAGATTTCTGTCTTCTGGGTTGTTGCGCTGTGTAGTATGGTAGATGTTTACCAACGTTTCCGAGGTCATACTGCCTCCGTCATCGCCCACATTTAGGAAGGAGAAATGGTGTTCAGTAACACAGGATTGTCATTTCATTGACGGTGTTCGTACGTCTATGTTACAACCTTGCAGTTCTTGAATATGTATGCAAACACATGTAATCTGGATTATCTCCAAACCCCTTGAGACATACAAGAGAAAACATGCGTGTTCCCAGAAAAATGTGAACAGGAATCAAATATTTATATTTAAAACTCAGAGCAACTTGATATGCTGGTCCATTACTTGAGGTACATCGGTTATAGTAGCAAAATATCACGATACAGGGTTTGCACTATTTGGAAGTTGATTTGTCACTGCCACATCGGGTCAGTATACTTCAGAAATGCACGTAAAGCGACGGGCTACATTGTAAACGGCTAAGGTTAAATTTCTGATCAACAAAATTGGGCCTTTTTATCTTCACACTCGCCTTCTGAATAGTTCTGGGGCCCACTTATCTTTCTAACCAGCAAGAACTCTTTGTTATTTCCCAATGGTAAATACGGCCTCAGCGTGAAGTCGGCAATTCCTATAATTTAGAGTCAAGGTTAAGAGTTAGCAGAGATTTATTTCACAATCACTGCGCGGTGCTAAGCTCAGAAATACGTCTAAATTTTCCTTAAACTTTACTTCATAGACATACATCTCGAAGTTCCATATTATATTCATATTACTGCACTTGTTAAATATGGGCACTCACTGAGTTTAAAAATTTAATGCGATCCTCACAGATTTCTAAATTCAGAGTATTTAAAGTTCAGAAGCAGTTGGTCATTTACTGATAGCTTTCTACTGCTTGTTTATTCATGAAATGTACTTCAGGTCACTTAAGGTAGGAGGGGTGGTTTTGTGTAAGACCTTAAATCACTCCAAGTATATTACAACCGTTGCGAAGTAAAGGCTTCGTCAGTTTAAAATTACTACTCAGAATGGAAGTGAACATTGAGTTATTCAATTTAAGCTTGGTTAATACATGTCATGCCATCTCTCTTGTTGAATGAAGACGCTATTGAAGTTTCGGCTTTGAAATATATGCAAATGATTTATAAGCCTACAAGGTACGGATAATAATGGCAAATAATAATAGCTGGGACCGAACATGGCGATCGATTGGTTAGGACTTTTGCTTCGTAATTGAGTTTTGGGTTCAAATATAGGCCCGAAGAACGACTATATTGACTTCGGTGTCTAGTGGTTTACGTTTTCCATTACAAAGAAGTGTTCGGTTAATGACGTGTAAGGAAATTATGGCTGTTTATTTCTGAGAATTATGTGAAATTCATAAATACATTTTGTGGGCAAACCTTAGAATTAGTCAATGTTAAAGCAAGTGGTGCATGTAGTTAGCCGTAACCTTTAAAGTGACAATAAATAAATAAAATAGACAGCCAAATTTGGTTAACAAATAAAATGTACTGGAAACTTTATACAAATTATATTAATACAATGATTAACTGGAATATTATGTAAACGTAGAACTGAGGAGTCAGTTACAGAGTGAACTGATAGGAATAATAATTCGAAAACCTGGCAGAAAAGACCATGGCTCAAAATGGGCGGTAATGATTATTATTTTAAACAATAATATTATTACATATAGTTTTTACTGCGTGTCTTTCGTAACTATGTTATAGTTTTGTTTCGACATGTACGAATGTTATAGGGCCTAATATGTGTAAATTTCTACATGTAT